TTATTGAACTGAAAAAATAAATGTTGAGTCTAGAGATGCATATTTGAATTCACCTGATATATGTTTTGGAGATGCGAGGTAAAGTTCATTGATTTTTTAACCATGTTTATGTTTTGATTCATATTAGATATGGAGCACTGAATATGTTTCTCAAAGTTGTTGTAAGTAATGATGTAAAATCTGATGAAGTGAAAGATGATGTTAAACCGAATGAGGTGAAGGATTTTGTTAAATCAGATGAGGTGGAGTATGATGTTAAACCGTATGCTAGACCGATTGATGTCAAGATAGATGTTGATCAACAATTTACAAATGAATAACTGTTTACTGCTCGTGAACATATGATTAAATGAGTCCAGATTGAGGCATATAAATTGGGTTTTGACATTGTAATCGAAAGGTCCGACAATAATTCTAATAGAAAGTAAACATTTATGACCATGAGATGCGAGAGAAGTGGCACATATGTACCACCGATTCAAAAGTTGAAACGCGATGACACCAGATCGAGAAAATGTGAGTGACTATTTAAATTGCGTGGATACTCTATAATGGATGATACTTGAAATTTTAGTGTGATTTCTAATTTACATAATAATGCCTTTCAAACTGAGCTAGTTGGTCATCCCATCGTATGTCACCTTAAACTAGAGGAGAAGGGAATTTTTTTTGAGATGTCTTTAATTAGGGTGGCGCCGAAAAACATACTTGCATATTTGAAACGAAAAAGACCTAAAAGTGTTTCAAATATCAAGCAGATATACAATGCGTGTTAACAAAACAACATGGAGATAAGAGGTCTAAGATATGAAATACAACAACTTTTGAAACTTTTGGATGACAACCGCTATGTTTCTAGATACAAAATTTGTGCGGATAAAGTCATTGTTTGTGACATATTTCGAAGTCATCTCAAAAGTATCAAGTTGTTTAACACATTTTCCACCGTCCTCAAAATTGATTCAACGTATAAGAACAATAAGTATAAGCTTCTACTTCTGGAAATTGTTGGACTTACTTCTATGGAGAAGACTTTCTTAGTGGGATTTTCATTTTTGGAATCCGAAAAAGAGGTCAACCTTACATGAAAATTAGAAATGTGCAAGAACTTATAGAAGAACCAATAAAACATGGCGAAGATAATTATCACACATCGAGACACTACACAGATGAATTCGATTGCAAAGGTGTTTTCTATATCTCATGTATTACTTTGTTTATATCATATAACAAAAAAGTGAGAAATCGACTCAAACCCGCAGTAGACACCAAATAAATCAAGGGTGAAGACGAAAAAATGGTCAAACCTGATGTGGTGTTAGAAAGGATAATGGATGCATGAAATGGTATATTAAATTCATCCACGGAAGACTTGTATGTTACCTCTGTAATACATTTTAGGAGTGTGTGTTCCAGATGTCTAGATTTCCTGAAATACGTTAGGAATACTATTCTGGACCAAGTGAATAAGAAAATTATTTAGGCTTAGACCGATCAGGTTAGACACCTCGACAATGTAACAATTAACAGAGTCGAATCTGCACATTCAACACTAAAGAAATGATTGGGTGATAGTAAGGATAATTTTCGTAGAGAGTGGGACATCGTAAACCAAACGATCCAAAACCAACATGATAAAATACAAATAACTTTTGACCAGACCATTACTGTGTTAAAATATTGATTCAAAGGAAACACCCTATATTCGCAATTGATTGGCAACATATCTTGGACAGGATTGAATTTATTTTTCACAAAGAAAAGCAAGCAGAGTTGGCATGTTCAGATAGTTCGAAGTATGTCTATTGTTAGGAAGCTTTACAGTCTTCCATGCGTTTGTCTCATTTCAAAAAAAGATGAAGCTTGATTTTCTGATATGTATGGATAAAATCTACAACCAATGAAAAAGACCATGATTTGATGATAATGATGTGATGAAAGATGGTAGAGCATGTATAACTATCATAACCGAGCATAAAATAATCCAAGATAAATTTTTTAAAGCAGATGACACCATAAAATTGCACATCAAAGAGCAGATCTGGAAGATTTTCTACACAAAAACCACAAATTTAAAACCTCCTTCAGAACCGATTAAAACCAAAGGTGACCCAAAAAAGGTCAAATCGAGACACAATAACAATTCAACAAAGAGACCTCCTTCATACTTTGAACATGTTGATTCACATTTTTCGAATTCTCCAATTTCAAAATCTCAAAAAAGTTTTTACAAGGGTGCTCGCATTAGCAAACCACTTTCTTCACCGTCGATGCCGAAAATAATCTTCATTGAAGAAATACTACTTTTTATGCACAAACAAACACATTAAACAGATTATAATTGTTTAGGAGGATGATAATTGCGGTTATCAGACCATATCTGACTCTATCAGAAAAGAAGACGAGAATCATTTTCTTGTTAGCCAATAACTTTTGAAAGAGTTGACGAAGCATAGCAAATTCTACACCGTTATATGATAAAAAAAGAACATTTTAATGCAATTCAAGATGGTCTTACTCCTTGTGTTAGCGGTCCCACACCATTTTCAAAATGGACGCGCTTCCCTAAAATGGACTATCTTATAACAAATACATATGGCAGGGTCTGATCGATCTAATAATATATGGTTTCTCAGAGACATTTTTCCACTTCGGAGTGACTCACATGAACGTCTTTTCGAACGATTTGTTGAGATTTGTTCGAAATCGCTACATTTTATTGAGGTTTATTCGAAATCGAAATGTCTTATACCTAGTTCATAGTTGGAGTGAACGATTCCACAAAAGAGGTAGAAACTTGATCGAATCAATTTCTGAAAAGGATGGAAGAGTTCGACAAATTGAATGAGTTTGAAAGAGAATCAAATAAGGAAAAATTGAAGGAGAAACCAATCGTAGATTTATGTGGTGATGCATCTTTTGATGCATTTTAGATTGTAATCGATACACTTTTTTTAATGTATTATTGTCAACGATGTAATCTTGATACAATTTAATACATGTTATATATATATATATATATATATATATATATATATATATATATATATATATATATATATATATATATATATATATATATATATATATATATATATATATATATATATATATATATATATATATATATATTCAGTAATGATAACGTAAATGTCCATTGTTTTTGTATAAATTTTATGATTTACAACTTCTGTTTATGTTTTCTAAGTTTATGGTATGTTTTTGGTTCAGAGTTAATTTCGAATATTCATATATGAAAATCCATTCTAATTAAAAAAACACAACATGGCACTTTTCAAATGTACATATCATAACACACATTTTTTCCGTAATTTACTAGGGTTTATCCGTATATGCATCTCCAAAAAGTGCTCTAATAACAAATAAAGTTTCTAAGATCCAAAGTGATCCAAGACTTGTATAAATAGGGTGTCTCTCATCCCATATTTTCTACAAAACACCCAGAATTAAAAAATAAATACATATCCCTACCTTGTATTTGTGTATTTCAAGCGAGAAGCCGCCACTTCAGTTTAGGATCTACGAGGACACAACTCTCGCCGACCTGATATCCAAATTGAATACTCTCTTGCAATATCTAAAAAATCGAAGAATTGTCAAGCTCCAATATCGTTCACCATCATTTGACAGCGAAGGGAAGATACAATTCACCAACTTTAAATTGAAAACAGATGTAAATTTAGAGGTTATATGGAAGTACTTCTGTTATGCAACAAAGAGTCCGATTGAAGTGGATGCGAATATTGCAAGATTCGTCGAAGATATTATCAATATGTTACAACGTACTCACCTACTCGTTTATAACGATATGTAATGTTAAATGTTTTAATTTAATGTCAAGTTGTTAGAATTTGTAGAGCTTGTTTATACTCATACTGTTTTTGTTTTTGTTTTGAAGTATCAGACCTATTTTTGAATATACATCACCGAAGCATATCAGATATAATTTCGAAGATGCATCTCCAAACTAAAATTAAGTATAATGAGAAATGAGTGTGTCTGAAGATGCAACACTAAAGATATTTTTGGATTTTCACCCAGGATTTGTTAAAATGCAGGGGCGGGAAAAAATTTGCCTTGTGTCATCCATATCAGTCTTCCAATTCTAGTTTATGAACAAGACTGATAAAGTTGTTGTAGAGATAGATGTTAAATTGGACATGGAACAAAGTGGTAAATTGGAAAAAAAAGTTTCTGCAAAAGTTGGTAGTTCAAGTGGTACCTCTAGGTAGGGGTGGCAAAACGGACTCGGTCCGTTTTACCCGCACTTTAGTGCGGACGGGCCAAAAATTTAGACCCTCACGCTCTAATGTGACCGTCTCGCCCCGCTCCGTTTTCTTCGCGGGTTTTTATGGACATAATTATTAACATAAAATTTTCCATTTTTAGGCCTAACAGATGCAGTACCCGCAGACTTTTCCCGCCCCACTCACTTTTTTGCGGGACGGATCTAAGTTTTAGACCCTCATCCTCAACTAAACCCTCCCCACCCCGTCCCATATTTTTACGGGCTTTTGCAGGACAGGCCTAAACGGAACGGACATGCCCGTTTGCCACCCCAACCTCTAGAGACATGGCTACAGGATCATCAAGTGCACCAAAGGATAGTTGGTGCCTCTACTAATCCAAAGTAAAAAAAAAGAGGAAGTTGGTCTAGTTAGCCGATCAGTAATCTTCTCGGAAGAAACAAAAAGTAACTCATGTTAACTCTGTTTCCATTCCAAACTCATCATTTCCTCTCTAACCCAATCTCCATCACCATCTCTAAAAAGGAACATGTGATTCTCAGCCTATGAATAGAAATGTTTTTTTTTTGCTCAGGTGTTTTTCTGTTGACTGGGGTGAGAACAAGTTGGATATGGATATATCAATCAGCCACTGGTTATGGAAAAATGAATTTGGATCATCAATAAACCACCCTACATGAACCCAAAATTTAGAGATGGTGTCTGAGCAAACATTTTCAGGTTAGCGGCTATTCAATAATTTGGTAAAATAAAGTAATGATAATAATAATAACAACATAAACAGAAGTAAAAATAACAAAAAAATTGTTTTTCTTTATTGTGATATAGAATAAAATACAATACATATACACCCACCTTTCTAACCAATAAAAAGAAGAAAAAATCAAGTATTTTAAGTACAAACTTACAAAATGAAAGAATTTGGACCTGTGCAGTTTCTAATGTCTTCAATGCTACAATATGTAAAGATTCCATGAGGCAGCAGCAATTAAAAGGAGAAACTAGTACCACTCTCCATGCAGTGTCACATTCAAACTTGGACATCAATAGCTCTATCATATTTATAGCCTAAAGCAAAACACTATTCATATGAATCCCAGTGGTTTACCAATAAAACACACTATCCAATTGATAAGTGCATTTCAAGATAACCGGGGAAAAGGTAATTAGCTAAAGAAGCTGATATGTCTCTTATTATGTAACTCTAGAACAATTCAAATTTCTTTTTCAACATGTCTTTCTTCCATTTCGGCAATTTATAAAATGCTTCTTTTACCATTCCAAATACAGTCTGGAAGTCTTCGTCTGACAGATAAGCCTGACAAGCAAGAAATGGAGATTAAGCAAACGTGTAACATAGTACTATCATAAAACCAAACAATAAGTCATATGCCTGCCATTAGAATTTGAAATGTTGCAAATTAAAATATCTCCCAAAACTGAATAAAAAATTAATAAAATCAGAGGGGTGGGAAAATTCATGGGAGGTGCTTGTAATATTTGTCCCATTTTGAGGTGCTTGTAATAATTAAAAGAAAGACTAACCTCTCGCCGTTCAAGGTCAATTCCAGACACAATTTTGCCAGACGTAGTCTTTAACTGATCATAACTGAATGTCCTTTGATTACTCTGGTCATTATTTCCATCTTCCACATTTTCTTGACTAGATTCAAGACCCTCATTGCTACCAGATTCCGCGGCAACTTCTTCCATTTCCTTGGCTTCAGTAGTTTCATCAACTTCAGAATATTCACTTTCACTTTTAACTTCTGCAGTAAAAACTCCAACTAGTAAAACACAGATATGAGTTGTGCAAACACAAGTAAAGCATTGTTTAATGCAAATTCTGCCTATCGACTATGAAGATTCCTTTAGGGCTAAATAAAGCACTAAGATCTCCACTCTGACGTAGTTTATTTTCCCATGGACAAAATACTAGCCAGTGAAATGAATTCACTTGACTGCAGCTTTTATAATTATGATTAAACACCATATAAATAATATTCAACAAAAAAGATTTACATACTATTAGAAAGACAAACATTAAGATTTACATACTATTAGAAAGACAAACATTAAGTATGTTATGAAATATTCAACCCTACAAACCCATTCTGTAAATTTATGCAAAACATAGAAAGAGTGACCATGGTTGAAATCGATGCAACATCTGACTTGAATAAAGAAAACTGCAATTATTACCAAAAGTGCCACTCTCTGGGACATGGCTGGCATCAGGAGATGAATCAGGTGATTGTTTGTTCTTTTCAGCAGTAAGAACTGATGAAAGAGCAGCCAAGGCGGCTGCTCTTTGCGATCCTTGACCTTTTCCAGGTGGCCTAGGAGCAACTCTCTTCGTCGTTGATGAAGAATTAAATGCAGAGTTTAAAGCAGCTAAAGCTTCCGCTCTTTGTCTCGGTCCTCCATGGTTTAACCCATTCAATCTCTCCTCTGACTGCAAGCAATAGTGTAAAGGTTGAATTGAATGACAAGTGAAAATAGAGAAACCAGTCTACCAAAGAAACACACAAAATAATGTAAAAAAACGAAAAAAGAAAAAGAGCAATATTTAGAATACAACACACAATAGAAATGGCAAATTGGCAATGATATTTTCTTTAATAAAACAAGGTCACTTGAGTTTGAGCATGTTCTCTATGATCCCTTCACGTAGAAAAAGGAATGCTAAAACTTCACCAATATTAAAGCAGAAGACACCATACCATACTCGTTTTCATAGACAATGGGCTAAAAGCAGAAGATAAAGTAGCCAATATAGGAAAAAGAATGCTAAAATCTCGCCAATATTAAAGAAGCAGAAACCATACCTTACTCATTTTCATAGACGACGAGCTAAAAGCAGAATTTAAAGCAGCCAAAGCTTCTGCCCTTTGTCTTGGTCCACTTGTCCCATTTGATTTTTCCTGTCACAGGAATCAATTTAGCTTTGTTAAGAAGATAAAATGGTGTTTTTCTAATTTAAAATATAATATCTAGGAAATGTGTGAAAATCTGGTAAAGGCAGACAAATTGGCGGTTGGTTTGTTTTGGAGGGGTTGAGTTGAATGTTCCCTCTTGTACGTTTCATTCCTCTCTTATGGGCTAAAAATCTTGTGATATCCTGGGTTCAATACGACTTTATGTAACATCATTCAGAGGAACTTTATTGTATAGCATTGAATATTAGTGTTCCTTCCGGTTAGGAAGCCTCTTCATGGAATGGTTTGATTCTGATCGTATGGAAGAGTGTTCTCCTACTCGTCTTGGAGTTGTCCCGACTGTGGGGGTGGGGGATATCTGTATACACTCCGACGCCCCAAGTCAGTGATCATCAGAGGTAATATGTATTAATAGGGGTGGACAGATTTCTCAACCCGCCAGAAAAACGAGGTAACCGAAATAAAAAAAGGAAAATGGGCGGGTAAACGGGCCAGAGGGGCATTTTTTACAGTTTTAAACGGTTTTTCACAGGCGGGCACAGATTGTAAAAATTAATCCGTCGATGTCCGCCCCACCCCATAAATGTAATACACTATTGATAATAGCTCTCTGACTTCTGAACCAGGATAGGACCGGGTAGGAATAATTAGACATTTGTATGTGTTGTATTCTAGAACCTTTAGTTCCGTAACTAATTGAACCACTTTCAGTTAGTTACAGTTATTCATTCTTGATTAATGAAATTCTATCAGTTTATCTTCTCTCTTAATTCTAACATGGTATAATAGAGCTTAGTTGCAAAGTTCAGTGCAAAGCTGCCAAGCCTTTGCAAGTATGTCGTCGTGGAAATAGTTATGTATTTTTCCCCACAGATGCCAAGTGCTTGTGCAACCAATAACATGCGTACATAGTGCTTGAAAATAATGATTGCAGCCATGAGAGAGAGTATGTTGATCTTGCTGTTCCCAGGCACTGCATGCATCTGATACACGTCCATCATCACGATCCTCAACAGTGAGAAACTGTGGCGGGTTCTAGTTATCTCTTCTATAGCTAGTTCTTATCATCTAGCTATTCTGCGATTAAGTGCAAGGTGACAGGAGCAGCATGCTGACATCCTCACAAAGGATCTCTTTTTGCCCTAATTTGGAGGTTTTCAAATCCAAGCTCACAAAGGATCTCTTTTTGCCCTAATTTGGAGGTTTTCAAATCCAAGCTCATAAAGGATCTCTTTTTGCCCTAATTTGGAGGTTTTCAGATCCAAGCTCATATTATGTGACCCATTACTTATGTGGTCCACACCTCCCAAGAAAGTATGTGGCTATTTTGGATAGGAAAATGATTCACAATGGAGGTAGGTGTTCAAGCTGCTAAGGTTGGTCAAATGGAAGATATTTTACTCCTAAGCGTGGCACTTGAATGTCTTATATGGTTCTTTATGAGAAGTTTCTTCGTTTCATCCTTGAGGACAGGGATGTGTTTGAAAGGGAGGGTATTGTTACAGTATTTACGTAACGTTTATATTTTTATTTAGTAAGAATTTCCATTTAGCTTATGTTCTGAGTTTGCAACTATGCGCTAACAAATTGTTAGAATATTCTCCTTAGTGTAAGGGGTCATGCCCCTATATTATAAACAAAAGTCTAATGAATCAATCAATCATCATTTACAGAAATACTCTTCTCTCTACAACTCTATTTTTCTCTTCATGTAATTTCTCTTTGTACCAGATTCTCTTCTAATGTTAGAATACCATGTAATTTCTCTTTGTACCAGATTCTCTTCTAATGTTAGAATACCTAGACTTGAGAATCAGATTTTATCGGAATCATACCTAGAATCCAAATTCCCATCTCAGTTTCTCTCAGCTTTAATCTGCTTTTAGACTATTCTGCTATTGAGTTCAGTTACATTAGCTGGCAGATCAATAGATCTCTAGATTTGGCTTTGGCTTGGTTCTGTTGTAACTTGTAACAGGTTTAATTCATTCTATATCAATGAAATAAGTTTATCTTCTTATAATTTGAAGAAAGAAAACTATAATTGGACCTAAAGCAGCTTGACATGAGATAGAAACAGTTGTTGGATCAAGTAAATAAAGAAATTGCTCATAATAGAAGTTACATATTGTTAAGAGTCCCACATCCGAACTTCTGATTTTATAGTTAATATAAAGCTATATTCTGTTAACTGAATTGCTTTGCACGTTTCAGGTTTTTTAACAGCTTCAGTTTTCCCAAAATAAAAAATATAAATCAAGACTATACCTCCACAGCATGGCCATTCCCAAAAAGTAACGTCAAGTTTTTCTGGAACGAGTTCCCGTGAACCTGATGTTGTAAGGAAAACAAACCATGTAAAATCATATCATTCTACCAAATAATAGAGATACACTAAAACAGCTTTTACAATATTAATGCACTCGCTATCATTTTAGAGTAAAACATTTAGAATAAGAATTTGGGAAATATATACAGGATGACAAAATTATAACACGGTTTTGCTCAACCAGCCCATGAGCCAGTAATTACATTCTATTCTCAACCAACCAGCACAAAAATGCAAAATATTGTGACTTGCTACAGTTGAAGATAAGAAAAAGAACGAGAAGGATTTTATCATATTTTTAAAACAAAGAACAAACCAAAAGGGCCATTTAATTCCTGTGGACATACCTTAGCTTTTGAATGATCCCAATCCCATGAAAAGTATGACGTGAAAAAGAAAGGTTCGTTCCCTTCTGTTACTTTATATAAGGGTACACGTGGAGATAGTCCCTCCAGAGATGCAGCCACATCTATGTAATTCTGATGCAAATTTTCAAGAATAAATCAAGTACTTCAAGTAGGAGAGAATATAAGAATCAAAGGCATTGAATTTTGTTTACCTGGCCAATTTCAAAAGCATTTTGCTTTTCTTTTGGGTCAACACACTGACCAATCCAAACAAACACTTCTGCATGTGTGTCCAGTATGTGGATATCCTCTGTTAACAAATCATCTTGGGAGAAGTTGTAAACCTCCTCTACCTGCAGAATAAATTAGAAAAGTAAATTTAGAAGGCATAAAGAGGCCTCAAAGGGTTCTACTGACAACTTCTAAAACAGGAGAAAATGTTAA